CACACACACTCTTTCATTAGAGACAAAAGAGATGATTCATAGGGGAAGAACTTATACTAATTTCAAACAAAAGATTTTACGCAGTATAGCTTGACACTACAATATCTCTCTTCTTTTTCTTTTTTTATATGAAACAAGGTTATTTATAATGGCACGAACTCTGCTATGGGTTTTTTTCTTTTCAACCCCACCCATATCCTATCTTTACCCCCCAACCCCCACCCCCAACATCCCTTTAACCCACAAGCAAAAACAAAAAAGGATGACAGAATAGAGTCATCTAGTCCTTTGACCCTCTATTTCCATGATCATGCGATACTTTTCCCGTTTCAGTTTTTATAATTTTATTTTTCCAGTAAGTCTTTGGATAGTGATGTTTTACATTCTGGCAATTCACGTGTAACAGTAATACTTGGTAATGTCTGTGCGCTGTTTTCAAGATCAAGTCAGAACAGAGCTATGTCTCACTCACCAGTGCTTTTTTACTACAGATTTGTCTCTTATGGAGGGCTGTTTTTTCCCAACTCCCTCCACCCAACTTTCTCTTCGGCCCACCAGGATGATTTCATACTTAATGCGTTCAAAAAGACAAAGGCAAGTCTCACTCACACCTTATCACTGCAGATCTGTGTCTTTAGATGGACAATTCTTCCCCCACCTCCAGCTTTCTCTTCAGCCCACAGGGAGGATAACATGCTGTGAAGTCCACTTAAACCAAACCCCCCTGTTTTTAGTTTCGACAGATTTACTGAAATATTGAATAAAAACATCTGGGATTTTATATTCTTTCTGTTTACCGTTATTTTCGGACAGATTGAGAGCGCGTTCACTAAACTGCCTAGTATAAGCAGACGTGTATTACAAATTCTGGACAATTTCCGAAATCCTGATTTCCTATCTTATTCTAAAAAATCGGCACCTCGAAAACAGGCCGGTTAGCCATGACAAGAAGAGTCGAAAGCCAGCCTTTGAAGTAATCCAAAATGTGTTTATGAAGATGTTAAACATTAACAATCAATCGATTTAGTTTAAAGAAATGAAGGTTGAAAATCAGAAAAGAAAGAAAAATGTTCCCACTAGTAATGTTGCCATTACATCACGACTCTCACCTCCTCAGGATAAAAGCAGTGCAGAGTGGAGAGAGGGAATAACGCCTCAAAGCCCTCCCGGAATGCCTCAAACTGTCGGCTGATCCCCTCCACTAGGCTCCAGTGAAGTACAAGCTGCAAAAAAGGGGGTAATTTTCGCTTTTTAGTTCAGAGTTTTACGCACTAGAAATACAAATAGGTACACAAAAGTAAAGATTACAAGTGTTACAAGAGAGTAGCATAAAACAAATGTTTGAAAAAAAAGAGGAGCAATACACACCACAGCATCCGTCAACCACCCACAGTAAGACTTTTACTTTATTTGTGACACAAATTAGCCTTAGTTTAGTATGGGGTTTTACGGCGCTCGCAACTTCATAAGGTCATATGAGCACGTATACAAATTACTCTAATAATTGCTGAAGATAAATAGTGTTACTAGAAAGTAACATACAAAGAAAAGAAAGAGGAGAGATAGGGACAACAGATGTTTGATGAGAGAAAGAGCAAACCACACAAGAGCACCCAGAGCCACCCACAGCAAGACTTCGTTCTGTTCTAGCAAAAGTTTTACAGCACTTGCAACACAATTAGGTCTATAAGTGCTGAAGATTAGAGATGTTGCAAAAGACATTTTGATTCACAAAAGCAAAAGAGAAAACTCTGAACGGTTATTTTTTCACCAAGACTTTTATCTAATCTGATTTTCCCATCTTAATCTAAAACATCTGTGGCTTTCTGTAAAAATATAGAGGATTGAAAGCACCGTATAAAGACGGCTAAAAGTGACAAGGCAACCCTACCTGCAGATATTCCTCTAGATTGTCGATGTTGACTTGTATGTCACGGCCCCCTTTACACAGCTCGATGTTCTGATTGCCAGGCAGGACGTAGTAAAGGTCAAGGTCTTCCAGGGAGCAGCCATCCATGGTCAGGTTGGACAGGGCTTGCTTCCTGCATTCCTCCGTCTGTGAGTGTGTGTGTGTGCATGTGTGTGCGAGAAAGAATGTGTGTGTGAGTGTGTCCAGTCACACGAGAGAGACAAGGGTGAGTAGACAGAAAGTAGTCAAAGTTGTGGTTCATTGGTCGGGGGGGGGGGGCACACGGATGACACATAGAGAAAGAAAATGAGGGCAAGGGTGAGTTAACTTTTAATTTCTAGCCAGACAATAAAACCTAAGTCTCATTTGATACGGTTTTACAATAAGACCCCCCCCCCCACACACCCCCTCTTTCATTAAAAACAAAAAAGATGATTCATAGGGGAAGAACTTATACTAATTTCAAACAAAAGATTTTACGCAGTATAGCTTGACACTACAATATCTCTCTTCTTTTTCTTTTTTTATATGAAACAAGGTTATTTATAATGGCACGAACTCTGCTATGGGTTTTTTTCTTTTCAACCCCACCCATATCCTATCTTTACCCCCCAACCCCCACCCCCAACATCCCTTTAACCCACAAGCAAAAACAAAAAAGGATGACAGAATAGAGTCATCTAGTCCTTTGACCCTCTATTTCCATGATCATGCGATACTTTTCCCGTTTCAGTTTTTATAATTTTATTTTTCCAGTAAGTCTTTGGATAGTGATGTTTTACATTCTGGCAATTCACGTGTAACAGTAATACTTGGTAATGTCTGTGCGCTGTTTTCAAGATCAAGTCAGAACAGAGCTATGTCTCACTCACCAGTGCTTTTTTACTACAGATTTGTCTCTTATGGAGGGCTGTTTTTTCCCAACTCCCTCCACCCAACTTTCTCTTCGGCCCACCAGGATGATTTCATACTTAATGCGTTCAAAAAGACAAAGGCAAGTCTCACCCACACCTTATCACTGCAGATCTGTGTCCTTAGACGGACAATTCTTCACCCACCTCCAGCTTTCTCTTCAGCCCACAGGGAGGATAACATGCTGTGAAGTCCACTTAAACCAAACCCCCCCTGTTTTTAGTTTCGACAGATTACTGAAATATTGAATAAAAACATCTGGGATTTTATATTCTTTCTGTTTACCGTTATTTTCGGACAGATTAACTCTGTTCGTTCAAGCTGACTCTACTACTATATATAAAAGCAAACAAGCTAGTGTTGGTGTCTCACCAGTGCCTTGTCACTACAGATCTGTTTCTTCTGGTGGACAATGTCCTCTAGCTGTTGGAAGGAGCGGGCCAGGACGCGATCCACGTGGAAGAGGTCACTGGAGGTCAGGGAGTGCTCCATGCCCAGCATCCACTTGTAGAACACGCGGCTCAGGGGGAGGTCAAGCTGGGAACAAACAAAACAAAGTCGGTTTTAATCACAAGAGTTTCACAGGACTTGCAGTTCAATAAGGTCATATAGGTGCCAAAGATTAGAGGTGTTACAAGCGAGTAACAAAAACAAAAAAGAAAGAAGAGAGATAAAAATGGTAGATGTTGGATAGGACAGAAAGAGCACAAACACAATAAAACGAAATAAAATTTTTTACTCAACATCTGCGGACAACCATACTTAACACCTCTAAATATTTTTAAAAGTTTTAGTTAGAATGTTTTACAGCACTTGTCACACAAAAAAAGTCATATAAGTGCTGAAAATTAGAGGTGTTGCAGCATCGTAATTTACAAAGAAAAGGAGGAGGAGAGATAAAGATGATAGGTGTTTGCTAGGAAAGAAGAGCGAACCACACTAAAGCACCCGCTAACTACCCACATCTTTGCTTGCTTCCTCACATTTTTCACATAGGTCTGCCTAACCACAACAGACTTTTATTTTCTTCCTAAAGACAGTGCAATAAATACTTTCTGAAAATTTTGCATACTAAAATAAACTCGCAAAATTGTAACATCAAACATATGAAACCAAATGGGAAAATGATGTACAAGGGGAAAGCACACAAGTCGTTCATTGTATGTTTTATAAGGATGTTCATTTTTCTTCACTTGCAAATTACCTTTCTGAGGAGTGAACACTGGCAAAGTTTATACGGAAGCGACTGATTGCGTTTATGTAACCTAAAATCAATGGTGCAGGAGATAAAACACAAACAAAGGTACACATACAGAGACAAACAAAGATACATTTACAAACATAAACAAAGGTACATAGACAGACACAAAGGCACACTAGCACATACAAACACAAGTCACAAATAAAGACACAAACCACAGACACACATAAACAGTTTGGTTTTAGTTTTTAGTTTTAGAAAGAGTATTACGTCACTTTCAACACAGTAAGGTCATACAAGTGCCGAAGAATAGATGTTACAAGAGAATAACATACACAAAAAAGGAGGAGAGATAAGGACGACAGATGTTTGATAGGAAAGAAGGAACAAACCACACTAGAGCACCAACTAACCACCCACACACACAAACAAAAGCTCTCACATACCAACACACACATACACAGCAACAAACAAAGGTACACATACAGAAAGGCACAAACAAAGGTTCACAGAGAGACACACACACACACACACACAGAGAAAATAAAACAAAACCTTTCTCACCATTCTGGAATCCATGAGAGCCTTGGCCATGAATTTCCCCAAAAACTTGAACCTGGCCTTGACCTTGTTGACGTGCGTGGCCTTTGAGCCTCTGTGCAAGGGAGCTGGGAACAGGCCGCAGGCGGACTGCGTGTAGTCCAACTTGACATTTGGGTCAGCCGGGGAAGTGGCCGTCACCGTGTCTCCTCGCCACAGCTCCAGGTCACTGCGCTGGAGCTCCTTTGACACCAGGGCGTAGAACTCCAGGGTGGGGCCTAGGCCTGTGCCAACCTGTTACATGGATAGACAGTTTGGTTTTAGCAAAGAGTTTTAGATTTTGTAAGAGGTTTTAGTTTTAGTAAGAGCTTTAGACAGACAGTTTGGTTTGAGTAAATAGTTTTAGATTTAGTAAGAGTTTTAGTTTTCGTAAGACCTTAAGATGGGTAGACAGTTTGGTTTTAATATTATGATTTGGTAAGAGTTTTAGTTTTAGTAAGAACTTTAGTTTTGTTTTAGTAGAGGTTTTACGGCGCTTGCAACTGCATAAGGTCATATGAGTGCCAAGGGGTGAATGTCAACAGAGGAAGGCCTTACTGGGAATCGGGCTTACTCTGCTCACCTCTCTCGCCTCAACAGCACAAAGTCTGCTTCGAATATCAAGGCACCCCGGAAATAGCGGGTTACAAGAGTGTGACGAACATACAAAAGAAGTAGAGGAAAATGACGGTAGTAAGGATTAGGAAAGAAAAAGCAGCAGTTCCCTGTTGCAGTTCAGGCACAGTTATGAGCATGACATTGTTGAATCAGCCCATTTTCAATTTTTCAGTGTATACAAACAAGTTAATGTCCCCCCTATGGGAATAGCCTACAGACATTTCAGTCAGTGGCATTGCCTGAGGGGGGGGGGGGGGGTTGAACTTTAGTTTTAAAAAAGAGAAAATAACAGTTGCAAAGAACATAGAGCATGCTGTAGCGCATGGACATGCTCTGTATAAACGAAGTTATCAATAATTATTATTATTAAGAGGTTAAGTTTTAGTACAAGTTTTATTAAAAAAGAGTTTCATTCAAAAAAAGTTATAGTTTTAGTACGAATTTTGGTTTTAGGAAGATAAAATTATTGTTATAACTGTTGAAACGCATGATGTAGAGTGTGGATATACACATATGAAAGAATGATTTTTAAGAGATTTAGTTTTAGTGCAAGAGTTTTGGTTTTAGTAATTGTAATAACAGTAAAAAGTTTTTATTTTAGTAAAACTAGTAATGAGCGCTTCAGTTTCATAGAAAATGATTGTTGTAAAGCATCTACAGCATGCTATAGAGTGTGGATATGCACTGTATAGGAGAAAATCATTAATATCAAGAGATTTAATTTTATTAAAAGTTTTAACTTTAGTTAAAGAGTTCTTGGTTTAGTAAGAGTTCAACTACTGTTATGAGATTTAATTTTGATCAGTTTAAGTTTAAAGTTCTGGTTTTAGTGAGAGTTTTGAGATTTAGTTTAAGAAAGAGAACATAAACGTTGCAAAGTGCATAGAGCTCGCTGCAGACACAAGATATGTGCTATATAAAATCAATTAATTATTTCTAATTATCCCTATTGAGAGTTTTAGTTTTAGCAACACTTTTAGATTTCTAAGTGTTTTAGTTTTCCTTAGAGTTTTACAGCACTTGCAAAACAAAAAAGGTCAAATAAGTGCCCAAGATAAGATGTTTTAGTAGAGGTTTTTCGGCGCTCGCAACTGCATAAGGTCATATGAGAGCCAGAAGATTAGAGGTGTTACAAGAGAGTAACAAACATAACAAAGAAGGAGGGGAGATAAGGACGATAGATGTTTGATAGGAAAGAAGGAGCAAACCACACCAGAGCACCCGCCAACCACCCACGCCCAAGATAAGAGGGGTTACAAGATAGTAACAAGAGAATAAAAGGAGGAGAGAGAATGATGATGGTTAATAGGGAAGAAAGAACAAACCACACTAGAGGACCCACTATCCACCCACAGACATACAGCACACCACAGACAGATGATTGCGCAAAGTGGAAGGTGAGACAAACGTTACCAATTCTCAGTGTGTACGGGGCTGATCAGTTCAATTATTTCACAATACTAAATCAAACTGCGAGGGGAAAATTTTAATTATCAGACATGATATCCCCCCCTCCCCCCCCAAAACAAAGCAGACACACACAAACACAGAATGTACCTCATTCTCATAATGTATCTCCAGCATGGTCCGTGCGCTGGCCGAACCACTCATGTCTTCCATCACTTTCTCCGCCTGTTTCAAGATGTCTTTACGGCTCACCTCTCTCTGCACACAAAAAAAGTTGGTTTGTTTGAGTAAAGAGAAGCGCACTGACACAGTATCAGTCATTCACTTTATTTGTTTGAACAAAGAGAAGCGTATCAACGCAATAACAATTATTTATTTGGATTGTTTGAGTAAAGAGAACCACAGTGACACAATAAGTCATTTATTTTGTTTGAGTAGAGGTGTACAATGACAAAATAACAGTCATTTACTTTATTTGAGTAAAATAGAGCACATTGAAATGGTCATTAGAGGAGGTTTGAAAATATATTTACAAAGTTTACAAAGCAGACAAAACACACTCACTCTCTTGCGGTCTAGGCGTGGGCCCACCCTCTCGTTGTCGTGCGATGAACTTTCTCCCGCCTGATCCTGCTGCAGCCTCAAGACAGCGCGGTCGCGGTCAAAGGTCGTGGCAAAGAACAACATCTGTCTCGTGTCAAAGGGGAACAAGAAGGGCCTGGGGAAAAAGACAAAACAGAAATAACAACAAAGTTTAACCAGAGCATATACAAATTTTAAAATATTTTAATTACAAAACTTTTTACATAATTAGAACATCCCCCCTCCCCCAAGCAGGGCAACTGTGTTTCGACACAAGTGTGATCAGCAGCCAGTGAATTTATGTGTATGTGTTCTTTTGTTGGATTACTGCCGCATATGTGTTCGAAAGGATTGTTGAACATTGACTGGATCAGTATGCATGAAATATGTCATTGTGTAAGCTGTCAATTTTGTTTTTACTATTTTTTTAAATTATATTTTTTTAATAACTGTGAAACGCCTAGAGCTACCAGGGAGAGGGTGCTGTAGAAGTGATCTTTGCTATTACTACACAGCTGCAAACTATTTAAAACACAAAAAAAGCAGGTCAAGATGGTGGGCATTTGCCCCAGTAACCCTCATCCAAACCCTTCACACATTTTTGTATTTTCAATAAATTTAAGCAATTCAAAGCAGACTTGCTACAAAAGATCTCCCCTCCCCAATAGACTTATAAATGGGCTTTGTTCTTATTATCATTCACAAATCCAATATTAACAGTTCACTTTTCTTTTTTTGAGTACTGGCATGTCCCTTAGGAGCAATACTAGAAAACAGAAAATAAGTATTTTCTGACACAAAATCAGACACACAAAAACACTTGCACTCAGACCCTCAAAGAAATATTTAATATGTAATTTACTACTGATTGGCAGCTACATTATCATTATTATCTCTCTCTCTCTCTCTCTCTCTTCTGGCGCTGTGGCTTCATAAACGGTCAGTGATGCCGACAGCACACAGGAACTCAACACTTGCCCGGGGGTCCTTAAAAAGTGCTGAAAGTGGGTTACTGAAATGTCCCAGCAGACGGGCTCTAGCACGATAGCTGACAGGACATCTCAGGAACACATGGTCCAGTTTCGTCCTCCTCCTTGCAGGCTCGGCAGGACGGATCTGGGTTGTCCGCTGGCGCAATTTTGTGGAGATATGATCTCAGCTTGGGCGATTTTCCACCAGTTCTCACTTGGGAGAGAAGCCGGCGGTCCTGTCGTCTTAGCGAGGCCTCAAGCTGGTATGACGGCGGCTGGGCAAACGGCAGTTTGGGTTTCACCTCTCTTTTCCACTTTGCGCGGGTCGATCGGTGGATGACGGCTTTAGCTGTCGAGAAATCGATTGGTGTGTCAATCTGTGTAATCGCTGTTGCTTCTTTGGCGATGCTGTCAACTTCCTCGTTCCCAGCCAGTCCAGCGTGGCCTGGAATCCACTGTAAGTGGATGGAACATTCAGAGCGTTGACAGAGGGTGTGCAGGTGTTGCCAGATTGAGCAGGCCACCTTTTCCGATTGATTGGTAGGGCCGTATGAGAGGCGCATGACTGCTGACCTAGAATCAGTGTATACATATCATTATTATGATTACTATTATGATTCATTATAGTTATATCAAATGTCCTTACGCGGCCTGTCCTATCTCAGGCAGCCAATTGGGCAGGTTCCCCGTCATGATGATGAGAGGGTCCTGCAGCTGTCTGTTGGCCTTGGCTGTCAGCTTACTGCTGATGAACTCTGCGGGGGGCAGGACGGGGGACGGCAGAAATGACACCTGGGGGACAGAGACAAATGTGAACAATTAAGATCATGTGATACAATCAAAATTGTCCAACACGGCCACCTGCTGTTGAGAAGAAAAGTGGGTGTCGTAGGTGGCCTTTTTTTTTTTTACATAAGCGCTTTACGGAGCTTACAACACAATTAGGTCATAAAAGAAATGAAATGGCTGTCTTGGACAGTGCCATTATAATATAATAAAGATGCAAGGAGGAAATGGGCAGTGGTTGTTTTTACAGGTGATTCTCTTGAACATGGGAGAGGGGGTGTTAGAGCAGTTTCGACTGAAAGCTCAGAGAAAGGGAGAGAGACAAGTTTGACACACTGATCTGGAGAAATAGAGAGGCAGACAGACAGACAGAAAACGGGCCATTTAAATTAACAAATTTTCATCAAAAAATTTTATGGCAGGAAAAGCCGAGTACGACAACAGAGTCTTTGTTTCAATAAAGAAACGCACATTGACACAAAGACAGTCATTTAACTCTTATAGACCGACATTATTTACCCTGGATTCACCGGAATTAAATCATGGCTGACCAAGGGAAATCACATCTGTTATTTTCTTTTGTGTTTTTAGTGTGTTTCCCTGTTAGTAATGTACCCATATTATACATCATTGTAGAGGGCATTGAACGTAGAATCAGATTAGTATAAAAATATTGAAATTCAAAGGTAAATGTGTTAGTTTTGAAGAATTACATAACATTACGACATCAAAAAAAGAAAAAATGAAAAGAAAATTTCTTCTTTCCGTGACAAAGTCAGATTCACCACTTTCTACTCCTAAATCTGTGTTATCGATAGGTTCTCTCAGTAATTCACTTGCTTTCTCAGCAGTGTGCCTTACCAAGCGTTTACCTGACGAAGCAGAAGGCTTATTCTTCGGCATAATGAAAATTTCAGAAACGACACACGAACCCCAACGCAAAACATAGCTCAAAACTCGCATCAACGCACTGTAAACAATTGAAAAGCCCCGCTATTTCTTTACAAACGGTGGATGTGACCTTTAACCCACGCTAAACCCATCGGAGAAAACTAGTATCGGTTTCTTCTTCGTCTTTGAATAAGGAAATAAAAACAACACAGTATGTGTCATCCCGGCTGATGGCGGTCGGCGGAAACAACACAGTATGTGTCGTTACGGCCTATAAGAGTTAATGAAGGGGAAAAGTAAGACAGAAAGACATAACAAAGGGAAAGAAAAGGAAGTAGGACCACCTGCAAAGAGCCCTGGAAGATTTTGGTTTGCAAAATATTAATTATACAAATAAAAGAATTCTAGCATAAAAAGCTCAAAGTTTCACCTAGAGGGCTTCCTTAGGAGCCACTTTATTACGATGAGAAGGCATAAATCAACACAAAATCATCATCAGTATCCTGTCGTACAGTAGTAAAACCTTGATGAAGACTGATATGTTTTCAAAAGAATTTAGTATAATACAAAGGCTGTTTTAAGTTTTCTTCTCATCAACTTTGTTAGGAACATTGCTATAATTTTTTTTTTCAAATACCTATGGTAAAAGCAAAGTCTCTTACGCATTATGAATATTACAGGTATGCCACTAGGATTTTGTACAAGTTGCATTTGCAAACAAAAAGACATTTTATAGACAAAACTATAGCTGTCAACTTTTCAAAACCAAAAAATACTCTACCCACGCAGGCAGTCATGATGATGGACACTGGCCATGTATCCCCCTTCCAAACCTTTCACACCCACTATTTTGTACGAAATAAATTCATGCTCACTAAGTAACTATGACGATACTGGACACAACTACAAAGAAAACATCTTATCATTCTCATTTGCAAGTACGTTCTTGAAAATTCATTATTTTTCTTTAGCACTGGCATGTCCATGAGGAACAATACTGACTTTTAGTCCATGAGGAACAATACTGGAAAGTAGAGAGAATACATATTTTCCAACAGGAAAACCGACAGTCGTACTCAGATCCTCAAAAACATGTCCAATATATTATTTGACGTACTAGACAATATCGATTGTCAACTGCTCGCCGGGTTGGATGTGGCCTGCAGGAATCGAGTCTGACACACAAGTGACTTACATCATACATAGAGGCCCAGTGTCTGTTTGTTTGACACACAAGAGACTTACACCACACATAGAGGCCCAGTGCCTGTTTGACACACAAGTAACTTACATCATACATAGAGGCCCAGTGCCTGTTTGACACACAAGTAACTTACATCATACATAGAGGCCCAGGGTCTTTGTTTGACACACAAGTAACTTACATCATACATAGAGGCCCAGTGCCTATTGAGGGCGTGGAGCACTCGGAGCAGAGCCACAGTCTCCAGCGAGGCGTCCTCGACAGTCACGGAGGCCGGCAGCTTCTCTGACAGAAAACTCTGAAGGACGGGCTGGGACATGGGGCTGCTGGCTCGGGAGTCTGTCATCGTCATTGTTGTGGTAGGCGTGGCGGTGGTGGTGGAGGTATTGGGGGTGGTGGTAAAAGGGGTGTGTGGACGTAGTGGTTGTCATGGTGGGGGTTGGGGTGGGGTGGGGGGGGGGAGGAGTGGTTTTGTTAAGGAGGTGGGTGGTGGGGGGTAAAGTTGGGGTAGGGTGGGAGTAGGGAAGAAGAAAAAAATGATTGCTCAAGACTCAAGAGGGTAAAAAGAGAAGGGCATGATTCGTATATCACTTTATGCAGGTCAACTTACAGCTCATGGTTGTTTGAGAAATTGTATGGCATCTGCAACACAAATACGTCATACGCGTGCTGAAGATTGGAGGTGTTACCAGAGAGTAACAAAGAAAAGAAGAGAGAAGGAAAATATAAATTTGATAGGAAAGAAGGAGCAAACCATACCACAGCACCCGCCAACCACCCACACAACATTAAGGTGGGGGGGTGTGTGTCCCACCTATTTTTGGTCAGTCAGGGTCAAATTGGGTATTACAATATTTTTTGCTTTTACTCAGTCATTTCTCTGTTGATTTGATTGTCCTTTGGCGCAGTCGTAGCTAGTTGGATGCCCAACATTTTTTCTTCTTACATTGTTATTCTAACTTCACTAATTAGAGAGGTACCTCATTTTTGTCAAACGTATTTGATTTTTTAATTTTTGACACATTTTTCGAAACTCCTCTGAAGATTACAGGTGTATCTTGATGGCATTTGGCATACTTGTTGCCCTTAGGGGTGGTTACATTGCATTGTCCGCGTTTTATGATATCTATCTTGGTTTTCATTTTATGATAAAAACAATTTGGAAAATTGACCGATTTTTGTATTTTTGACAAGATTTGCACGATTCTACATATAACTCCAAGACGAAATAAGATATCGAAAGATGCTGACAATATATAACTTATATGCTTCTTGGGTACATGTGTACCAAAGGACAATAAAATTCATCGGTAAATTTTAGAGGAGTATTGATTTGAAAACATGATGTGAAAATCCAATATGGCCGCTATAAAAATGGCGGCCATCTTGGATCCGGGAAAAATCTTTTTTCATCGTAATACCTATATCAGAACGAAGTTGTATGCCAAGTTTAAGGTTTCTAGGTCCAAAAATAAAGGAGTTACCTCGCTCGTGGGGACCACCTCACCCCCTTAAGCAGAGAAGCAAACAACAACAGATGGGAAAGTAAAAAAATAGGATCTACCAGTGGTGCCCACCAAGCATCCCAACCTGCCCAGAAACACACAGGACACTTGTACAGGTCTCTCACCTTTCTTTTTTGACACCTTGGAGCTCTTCGATTCAGCTTTAGTCTTCTTGGGGCTGGTCACCATGTTTTCTTCTTGCTCACTTGCTGGTCTGTACCTGAACAGTCAAAAACAAATCAAGTTTAATTTGAGACAAGAGAAGCAGATCAACAAACTAACTGTCACTAAGCATAAAGCAACATCAAATCTGACTAATAGGACAAACTTCTATCCAAAACAAGGTAACATAGAATCTTTTTTTTTGTAACTGTTTTACGGCACTTGCAACACAATAAGGTCATAAAGGTGCCGAAGATTAGAGGTGTTACAAGAGAGTAACAAACACAAAAAAGGAGGGAAGATAAAGACGATAGATGTTTGATAGGAGAGATTAGAAGAAGCAAACCACACCAGAGCACCTGCCAACCATCCACATAAGAGGTCTTATTTGAAAATAACACAAAGAAAAGAAAGAAGAAAGATTGGGCAACATTAGATCCGGCAATACAGTTCAAGTTTGAGTAAAGAGGAGAACATCAATACAAAACTGGTGTAGCGAAGAAGCACGACAAATAGAAACAACCAGAGGAAAACAAAGCAAGTAGGACCTACCAGTGGTGCCCTCCACTTTACTTTTCCCTACCTAGCAGCCATCCGAGTTCTAGCCCTTCGGCCTGATGGCGCCCTCTAACCGGCCACGTGACAATTCAAACAACCACCCACCCCCCTCCACACACACACACACATAAACAAACAAACACTGTAGCTCACCATATGGTGTGTGTCTGCACCCAGAGACTGGTGTTTCCAAAGGGTGTGTCTGTGTCGCCGTCGCTGAGATCCCCGACCTCTGTGCCCCCGTGGCACACGTACTGCTTGACCGCCTGGTAGACCGTCATGTTGTAGGGCAGCACATGGTCGCCGATGAGGAACTCGAGCCTGTGCCGCGGCGACGTGGCCGAGATCACGATGGAGGCCATCTGTTCCTCCATCTCCTCGTCAGAGTTGTCGTCGTCGCTAAGATCCTCATCCATACCCTCCTGTTGTGAGCGAAACAAAGATATAGTTTTAGCTTTGGTAAAGGTTTTAAGACACACATACACACATGAGAAATAGGTCATGTTAAGAGCTCAAGATTAGATGCGTTACTACTAAACATATAAAGTGCTACTACAATAAAGTCACATACAAAGGCAAGGAGGAGGAGAGACAAGGATGATGTATGTTTAATTAGGGTATGTGTGCGTGAGTGTGTGTGTGAGAGAAAGAGAGATGGGCCCTTGCTGGGAATGTCTTGCTCTCTACCACTACTCAGCCTTTTCCAGTTACTGACGTCTGTGGGTTTGAGCATGTGAATGTGAATGTGTGAGACAACTAGTCACACACACATATACACAAACATACACACAACGCACAGATCTAGACTTTCCACTGAACCGAGGAAATCTCACCGTTGAACTCAACCTACCCTCATTTGAGCCCCACCCATTTTTTGATCCACTAACCCCCGCTGTAACCTAGCCTTCCCACTGACTAATAATTATTTCTCTACGGCACTTACTTAGTCTTCCCAAACTCATGACTAATAAGCATTTATCTACAGTATAAATCGTCACCTTCCCAAACTACTGACGAATATAAGTATTTCTCTCAGACACTTACCCTAGTTTTCCCAAAACCCCTGACTAATAAGTATTTCTCTATGGCTTGCACGAGGGCTAGTGGATCAATCTTCACAGGGCCTCCCTTCCACTGCTTCAGCGACGTGCACGCTGGGTGTCTCTGAAGCTGGCACTGTGAGCACAGGAGAGGAAAAGGCAAACATTTTAGTACACACACGTTAGTGCAAGCAATCCCTGAAAGGTGAGAGGTTCATGGGTTCGAGGCTCAGCTCAGCCCAACATCGTTTTCTTGGCAAAGGTATTGCAAATAGATTTTCCTCCCTTCAACTGGGTGTAAATGGGCAATTGGCCATACGCAGTAAAAGATCTTGTCAGTATGTTAGTGCTTTAGTACCTTTAAATTAAGATATTACAGAATGCTATCAAGTCTGCTGGGGTAATAATATACATTGTAAAATGCATAGAGCTTGCTGTTGAGCAGGAATTTGTGCTATAAAAAAGCTAGTTATCACCTTTATTCTTCCCCAAAACATTATTACTATTCAAAGATGAGATTAATATTATCATTATATCTGAGAATGTTTATTTCATTCATGACTGAAAATAGCCAGAGAAGTCACAGTGTTCCCCTTGACAAGGTTACAATTTACCTTTAACTGATGTGTAGTGAAGAACTTGATTATTGTTACCATCATTATTATAGTATTATCATTATTGTTATCATATTCATTACATTCACAACAGAAAATAGGCGGGATAGTTAGAATGTTCCTCGTGACAAGGTGAAGGTTTACCTTTAACTGGTGTGTAGTGAAGAACTTGAGGGCGTTGCCCCCGCGACTGCTGCCACTTCCCCCACCAGGTAGGTCGTGAACTTTGACCTGAAACTACACAAAGAGAGGGACAAATGGAATAAACCCCAAGGGGCAAGCAGGAAATATATTGCATTAGAAAAATAATAATTTTTATTTCAAAGGAGGCCAAAACACTTTTTTTTCTAAATTAAAAAAAAAAAAAAAAAAAGGAACAAATTTTTTCCATTATTCTTCACAGAAATTATTAAAGTTATACCAGAGTTAAAACTATAAAATCCATCTCAGTATTAAAACTATAAAAGTTATCTCAATTTTGTAGCCATGTTATCTCAATGTTGTTACTATAAAAATTATCTCAATGTTTTAACTATAAAAGTTATCTCCACCCATAGGTAAGACTGTAACAATAAGAGTAACTTCTGGAACAAGGTATGAGAGTGCCATTGGTTACCTGCTCCAGCTGATGTAAGCAGGCCATGAGTTTGGACACCAGGAAGGACAAAGCTGGCGTTCTGTCCTTGTCACTAGGTGGTTCCTTCATGTACGTCACGCTGGGAGGCTGGGGGGGAGGGTCACATACACATACATAATATGTATAACACACACAGTCCTTGATTGCAGTGGTGATGGTGGTGGTGGTGGTTGTTGTTGGTGTTGTTGAAGTGGCAGTGGTTGCTATTGTTTTAGTTGTATCGATGGTGGGTGTCATCGTCGGTCTGGTTGTGGTGTTTGTTGTTAATATTGAAGCAGTTGCTGCTATAAGCTGACAAAATGCCTTTTCTTATATTCACAGCACTTTCAAGGTAGCAAGGCCTAGGCATAACCATTTTAAAACGGCATTCTTTCAAAATTTGAATTCTAATTTATTCAAAAACTAGTGACAGTTTCACTTTGATTTTTTTTTCACAGAGGTAGGGTAACTGATCAGGCTTTCAATTGACCAAATTAAAAAATTTGACACCAACAATGAAAAAAGGCGTTTTGTCAGCTTATGGCAAAGTGGTTGTTATTGTTTGGTTGTGGTGATGGTGGGTGTTGTGGGTCTAGTTGTTATTGTGGCGGTAGAGACTACTTTTGTTCTTGTGGTGGTGGTGGCGGCTGGTGCTGTGGGTGTTGCTATGTGTTTGGTTGTGGGTGATGGGTTGTTGTTGTGGGTCTGGCTGTGGTTGTTATGGTTCCAGTGTTTAGTTTAAGTAAAAAATTTACAGCACTTGCTACACAATAAGGTAATATAAGTGCCGAATATAAGAGGTGTTACAAGTGAGTAACAAACACAAAAAAGGAGGAGGAGAGAGGATGATAGTTTTCGACAGGAAAGAAGAAGCAAATCACACCAGAGCACCCGCCAACCACCCATGTTCCAGTGTTTGCTGCCGTGGTTTTAATGTTGATTGTCATGATTGTTGGTGGTGTCCATAGTGCAATTGTCAATCTTGCTGATGCAGAACTGCAGTTTCCTGAGAGTCCCCACAAGAAACGTCAAATTTAATTCAATTTGAGTTTAAAAAAGCACGTCGATCCAATAAATATTTAGTGCATGGGAACAGTAGACAGACAGGGACACTGAGAAATGGAGAGAAACAGACTAGAACCATGGCATTGGTTTTCTAGTGGTTAGGCTGTTGGGCTGGCAACCGATAGGTCAAGGGTTCAAACCCTACAGGGCCCCGATGTTGCATCTTTGGGAAAGAACTTGAGATGCAGAGAAAGTTCCTTAGTGTCCTGGGGTCTGCCGGGGTAATATTGTATAACGGTAAAGTGCAAAGAGAATGCTGTAGAGTGTGGATATGCACTGTGTAAATTGACTTCTCAATGTAAGACTCCGCCCTTAGCCACTTTGAAAAGTGACGTATGATGGAGTCTTATACCAGATATCTAAAATGCAATCATTATTACTACTGCATCAGCACCGCACATACCGGGCAACAGAGGAAGACGTGAAGAAATCGGCGGATGCGAATGTCCCTCATGACATCGCCCGAGGTGCTGGACAAGTACTGAAGCAGCGTGCCGATGAGCCCGCTGTGGATCACTTCAAATGGAGAGATGTCGCTCTCCCTCACGATGGCAGCGATCTCGAGCAAGCGATCTATACCACTGTCGCCCTGGGAGATGAAAACAAACAGGACAATGTTGTATGGTTAAATTTGAGTTAAGTTTTAGATTTAGTTTTAGTAGGGGGTTTCACGAATAAATTTTATAACGATTAATTTGACCAAAATATATGTCACATGATAGAGCTAAAGGAGCTGAGAAAAACAGAAAAAAACTGCATGAAGATTGGAAAGAGGAAAAACCGGGATTTTAGGTCATGTAAGTGCCAAAGATCAGAGGCATTACTAGTAAGTGACATACACAGGGTTCCCACTCATCAAGGAGAAACAATGGTCTTGGCAAGCTTGCCGTTGCCAAGTTTTAAAAAAAAGAGGGTGGGGGTTCTTATTGACCGTTAGCTTGACTGTTACAAAAACAAAAGAAACCTGACGGGACACGTCACAATCCTTTGATCTTGATTGTACATCACTGCACAACATGAGCAAAGGGGCAAGCATTTTAACACCTTGTCAAACTAAAGTTGGCCTTATTCCTTGTTAATGTTTTTCTTAGGGCAAAATATTATTAAACAACTTCAAAGGCTATGTACAGAGGGCGAGTTAGACAGCTGAACGTGATGCAGTGACGTAGACTGTCGCGATCTGATTTTTCATAACTTATACACTGGGAATGTGGAGATGAGTTGCAGCAGCTGAAAGGCAAATCATTTTTTAAAATTTGAATAAGGCTTGGGGTATTATGATCGTATTTTCATAAAACCGAATTTTTTTTTAAAGGGCAGCCCTTTGGTTTCCCTGACTTTTCTCCCATACATTTTTGTATTCATTCATTTTCAAGGTGTTTTCCTGATCAGGAAATCAGAAAATTTCTGGCTTTAAGACCAGAGTCCTTTGTCACCTGTGGTGAAAGACGTTCGGTAGCAGAAGAAAGTCGTTTGAGCATGTCCAGCGCTGGGTGGGAGTCTCCGTGTATATCGGCTGAGAAATATTTCTCCATAAACAGTTTACCTGGAGATAGGAGCAGAAATGAAATACATGACACATGTTCGTCTGAATTAAGAGAAGAGCGCAAAATAGTTAGTCTTTTTTAAAAAGTTTTAAGCACTTGCAACAAAATAGGTTATATAAGTGCCAAAGATTAGAGGTGTTACAAGAGAGTAACAAACACAAAAAAAGATGAAGAGAAAAAGACGAAGTATGTTCGATAGGGAGAGGAACAAACCACCCACCAACCACCTACTACCAGTCTTTTAGAGCTGAGAAAAGGTAAGACAGACAGAACCAACAAGGTCAAGTCCTAAATTTAAGTAAGTACTATTTTTTAAGTCTTCTTTAAGTAATAAAAAATTATTCAGGCAATAGTAGTATGAATGAGATGAAATATGCCAACTCATAAGCTTTGGCAAACAGACCCTGATTGGCTAAAGATGAGTAAGGGATATATAAATGTAACTCCCACCCTCCTTTCCCCCTTAATAGGAAGTAAAAACATCCCAATATACCACACACAGCAAGTATCAAGGTGAAAAAAAAAGCACATGAGGATTTTTTTAGTACAACACTCATTTACAGCATTTCTAATAACAAAACAGAAAGAAACCCCCAACCCATAAAGAACTTGACATGACGACATTTCTGTCAACAAAACAGTAATAAAATTAAGATGTTCACATTATGATACTCATTTACCACATTTAAAAAAAATGAAGCAACAAAAATTCAGAAGTCAAGGGGGGGGGGAGGAAGGGCACAAGATTAAAACATTCGTGCACAAGACAGCGTTTTACCCTTACATTGTTCTTTGATCCAGGTTCTGACTTTCTCCTTGTTGACCACGACAGGGGGAGGCAACTGTTTGTGTGACAACATCTCCTGCGGACAGATGAAGTTCAGTTCTTCTTCAGTAAGCTGGTAGAAGGGAGGCAACTAGTGCCGTCTTATCACACCCTGAGGTAAAACTCCTCTTCCTCTTTTGCATCACAATTCCACTATTGTTGCATTCAACTTTTAGTGGTTTGTGTTTTTTTGGGGGTGGGTTTTTTTATTTTGGGTTGGCAGATTCAGTTTGATAGAGTTGTAATAGTTAGCGGTTTGCATCCCCATAAATTGTGTCAATTTACATCATTTAGGAGGTGGAACATTCCTGTCAACTAGAAAGGGACTCAATACATACCAAATATGGTCAATTTAAGCTCTTCAATACTCAAACTGAGAGAGAGACCCACAGCGATGACAATGTGTAAATGTGATGCAAAAGTGACTTAAAAATACAAAAACATTGCATTCTATAATCCAGTCATACTTAATCCTTGCAGAATTCTGTATCTGACCAGGGAAGATGCGGGCCTGTTGTGACAAAGAGTGGGGCACCAACAGACGAACATCGCCATGGTTACATATGACCAGTGACATCTGACCTGACCAATTCAGACTTAAAACCCTTTCACCTCCAATAAAGCTGAAGCAAGAGCATTAATGAAAAACATTAATGCAAACAATTTCATTCAATGTATGGAAAAAACACTTAGTCCAACAAAATATGAGTGAAGCCTTATTCATATCAATGAAACTTCATGTCTAGTTTGGGGGGGGGGGGGGGGGGGGGGGGCAAAGGAGAGAGAGAGGGAGAGAGAGAGAGAGAGAGAGGGGGGGGGGGAAAGGATAGACAGAGAGGGAGAAAGAGACAGAGAGATAGAGCGAGTGAGATAGAGATACAGAATGAGAAAGGGAGGGAGATTGATATAGAGAGATACATATACACAGAGAAAAGAGATGCCTTTCTCCATGTTCACCTTCATGGATGCCTGTCTGTCTGCCGAGCTGCCCGTCCTGCCCCAAGACCTGGGGTTCAGAGTGGTCAAGAATGGAATTTTGGACCCAGATGAGCTGGATCTCGCGTCTTTGCCTGTGAGACAGAGAGGAGAAAATAGTGCCACAGGGTGCTAGATACCACGAACACATTATTTATTTTGAGATTGAGTACAGGAAAGCACACTCACATGATAGCACTCATTAAAGGTGTGTGTGTGTTTCTGTGTGTGAGTGAGTACGTACGTGTATGTGTGTGTGTGTGTGTGTGTGTGTGAGTACGTATGTGTGTGTGCGTGTGTGTGTTGGGGGGGGGATGGGGGAGAAAAAGTGGGACCTACCAGTGGTGAAGAAATATAGAACCTACAGCTTTGTTTTTTTGTTTTGTCTTTGTAAAGTGTTCAACGGCGCTCGCAACTGCATAAAGTCATATGAGCGCACAGGACACACCTAATATTTTCAGTTGGTAGGAAATTTTGAACTTTGCGCGGGTGGCGGCCGAAGCCTACTCTTATCGATTTTAGACCACCAAGGGATCTTTAACGTGCGCAACTTGCACACGGGCCCTCTGAGATTTTTCGCCCTTGTCCGAGAAGGCTAGGTGTAGATCTTTCCTACCAGAAGATCAGGGGTGTGGCTGAAAGACAGCAGTAAGAAGAAGCCAAGGAGTAGCAGTAGAAAGGCTGCAGAAAGAATCAGGAGCCCAGAGGAAGGGGCAAAGGAGGTGAGGGGGTGGGGGCAGAAAGAGGAGACGAAAGCAGACGACAGAACATTGCTAGAGAGCAGAAATGAGGTGAAAGGAGACAAATTTAGAGAAGAAAATTTTTCGGTCGCTACCCCGATTCGAACCTGGGACCTTTGAATGAGAGGCCAACACCTTAACCTCTAGGCCACGAGAGCCCCCTAAACCTACACTAAATGAATTTTTGAGACCAAAATTACAGAGCTATAAATTACATTTACAAAACTAATATCTGCCTGGAACAGAAAACCAAATAAATACACAAACAAACATCTAGAACAATCTCATGTAGAACAAAGACACATGTAGAACATTCTCAACAAGAAAACGTAGAACAAATTCAAAAAGAAATGTCGAACATTCCAACAAAGAGACATCTAAGAACAATTTCTCAACACAGAAACACCAGAAGCACCATGAACAATCTAACAGAAAAATTTTAAGAATTATCTCAAAGAGACATCTTAAACAATCTCAGAGACAACTTGAACAATCTCAACAGAGAGATCTCAAAAAGACATCTTGAACAATCTCAAAGAGATGTCCCAAACAATCTAAAAGGGACATCTGGAACAAACTTAACAGAGAGACACCTACAATGATCTGAAAGAGACACCTACAATAACCTCAAAAGGACATTCAAGACAATTCAAAGAGACATCTCAAATAATCTCAGAGGAACATCTAGAACAATCTCAAAGTGACATCTAGAACAAACCAAACAGAACGTACCAGAAGCTGACTTTCCTCTTCCGCGGCCCAGCAGGAGACTCACTCCCTTAGGGGAAGGCTCAGAGGAGGCTGGATCTTCCGACTTGCTTCCTTTTTTGGTCGGGCCTCTCCTGGGTGGCCTCTTTCTCTTCAAGACATCACTCAGTTTCCTGAAAAAGCATCAACTGAATTACCATCTGCTAGACAAAAAGGTCAACTTTTATGTCTAAAATTCCAAATAAAATCTTACAAAAGATTGTACAAGTGCTAATTTAGTTTTTTCTGCTGTAATGTAAGTGTTTTACAACCCCAACAAAATTTTAACAATTGTATGTCAGGCTTCCACCTTTGCTGTCCGGACCAGCCCTACACAGGAATCAAACGCAGCGTTTACTCATGCCACAGCAAAGCGTCTTGTAACTAAATGCTTCACCAGACACCAATGACGTTTTCTGTAGCTCGCTCAACTTACATATGTGCCGACGAGGCGCAGGGCTCTTCGATGTGTGGAGAGGCGCCACTGCTGGGTGAGCTCAACTCCTCCGCCCCTCCTCCCTCTCCGGCATCCGGGGCGTCTATCTTGGGTATGGGTAACGGGACAGCCGGGCAGCTGGCGTCCAGGGCTGAGCCCAGGATGGGGGAGGTGCCTGGAGGGGAGGGGGCCGTGGACTTGGTGGGAGAGCCGGGCAGGGCGCTGTCATCGCTGGCCAGTTTCTGTATCTGATGCATCACCCCTGGGCACAGAACGTAACAGAGGTTTTTGAAAATCACTTTTTATATAGTTTTATTTCTTTGGGCAAGGGATGGATCATTTGTTGTGAGTATAACTATTAGGTCATGAGTGTGTGTGTGTGTGTGGGAGGGGGGGGGGAGAGAAAAGAGAGAGAGACAGAGAGAAATTGATGGGGGGGAGGCAGCAGGTAGAGGTAGGGCAAAACTGATGTCAACACCAGCAGTGTTGAAGATGTTTGGGTAGCATTTCTCAAAGAAGTTTATTTTGTACAATTTTCTTTTCCCTGTAGAAGTATATCCTGGGCATAATAATATGTATGACCCATCTAAAGGCCTAGAGGCATAAAAGCTTTAGAGCTTATCATGAAAAAATAACTGATTATTTATCAATTAACTTTTTAACTTTTTCAAAACCCAATCAAGGGCATCCAACATTACACCAAATAGAATAGGTTTTGGTGTGGTACATCACGACCTCAGTGTTTTCATGTTATATCTCCATTTTCTTAAACCTTGAAAATGTAACTTCTTCTTAAGTTCACTCTTTGTTATGAACTGTTTTCACTGTTTAAAAAAATGGAGATACGACAAGAAAGCACTGAGGTTGCGATATGCAATGTGCCCCCAAATTCCCCACTGCCGGATCCGAGTCAGTCCAAGGTTTATTCACGACAGTAGACAAGCCTGTCTTTACAGCGACTCACCCTCTCTTCTGAAATAGACGCTGAACACATCCGGCAACTTCTGCATCAGAATGTTAGCCATCTGGATGGCACCCACAACCACTTTCAGATCTGGTGAGCCCAGCATGCAGGCAAGTTGACTAGAGACAGACGAAAAAACAAAAAAAAACCAACCAACATCAAAGATTGGGAGTCACATAATCAAAGTTTAACTCTTTAAACCCGAAGTTTTTTCCACCGTTCCCTGTGGTTTTTTCTACAGTAACCTAAACCTGGTGCACTTTGTCTCATTATAACCCCAAAAACTTGCCTCCAACTTCAAAATGGTGGAAACAAGGGCTTAGTCATTACTTAAAAACTTGGTTTGCGAATAGTACCGAAAAATGCAAAAACTAGCACTGAATAAAATGAAACAGCTGTTACTAGTATCGGACGCTCACAGGATCCCATGGGGAACAGGGGTTTAAAGAGTTAAAAAAGATTTTTACGGCACTTGCAACATAAATGGTCACTTTTAAGCACAAGGGGGCTATCTCAAAATTTTTTTGGAGAAAATCGGAGGCAATGTTTTTGCCCCTTGTTCAGTTCCTTTAAAGGACAAGGAGAGTTTTCTCTATAATATAACCAAACAAACATACACACCAATGAAACCAAACTTCTCCTACAGGTACGACAATGCCCACTTTTGGTGTTGGTCAAGATTTCTGGAAACCCCCGAAATCTGGGTTAGCCCACTTATCTTAAAAAGCGACCAAATAGGTCACATAGAGACTGAAGATTAGAGGTGTGACAAGAAAGCAACATAAAAAGAAAAAAAGAATATATAAGGACAACAAGACGTTTGATAGGAAAGAGGAAGCAAACTACACCACAACACCCGCCTACCACCCCCATTTATTTCAGTCATGAATAGACCGAGAAACTACAAACACAGGGAAGAAGTAAAATGAACAAACTAAAAAAGAAACCTCCCCTGAGCAGATTTTTCTAGCCCCATCTGCTCAGGCTCAAACCCTGTGAGAAGACCTTCGTACCTGGATACAGCCTGTGTGCCCAAGACTTCCTTCAGCAGCTCTGGGTTGCAGTAGTAGATCATTCTGAGAATGGTCTGAAGGCACTTGTGGCGAATATTGGGGCCAGCCTGGACAAAGAAAACATACACGGTGGACATAGATACTGCTCTATACTTCTTTCACATCATTTAAGAGGCAGGCTATAAGAACCAACCGAAGTTGAGAGGGATAAAAACATCCCAACAGAAAGACAGATATTCGATAAAACATCTCCCCACTTGAAATAGAACTCGTGTCTCCTGCATGTAACAGAGAAGCAACTAACTGCTAATTCAGAAGCTGGTGCTCTATACACATCTATACATTAATAATTTACAGCGACTTCAAACACAATCTAACAATCTGATGAAAGAATTTACCAAAACATCACCCTCTAAACATAATAATTTTCTGCGACTTCAAACACAATAAGATAAAAAAAAAAAATTATTTACCAAAACATCACCCATAAAAATCAGTCAACAGCATCAAAACATTCCAGAGCCACTCTTCACTCTTTTCTTGTAAATTAACCAACAATTGAATTCTAAACACACCACCCAATATGAACGGTGCCCTCCGCTATTTACACACTATACAGTAGATGTCATCATTACAGAACATACTTGTTTTGTTTTTGTACAGGCTTAATATATCTTTAAAAACTGCAAGGTTATTTACGAGGTAAGACCTCTGAACTTAATGCTCATCTCCAATAGGATAAAAATAAATGCCTTGAAAATGGCCCGAAAACAACCCAATTTCAAGAATGCCTGTTTGGTTAAGGAATTCAAACCAGGGCCATTCAACTGAGCTTATAGTACGCCAAGGATGCATTGTGTTGTTTCTTAAATAGAGGAGGGGGCCCAGCTCAAAGAACAATCTTTGCTTAAACATAAAAGTGGTATTTTTCTTTCAACAGTTTTTCTTTACATCTACTTTTTCCCATAAGAAACTGCCTTCTACTCAGCCTAATACAGTAGCAACCTACATTTCCCAACAAACACAGAACCGACCTCCTCAGAATTAGCATTTTTTTGTCCATTGAAAAAAAAAACTTCAATAGAGAATAAAAATGCAAACGGGGCTCACTAGCTTGGATATAAGGTAGCACAACTATTTTCACAGCAGTACAGTCGAACCTGCTCCAACTGCTACATCCCCAAGCACTGTATGCTTCCCAGGAAGTTGAGTTTGTTTCAGAATGCTCTCAGGTCTGCTGGGGTAATAGTATAGATTGTGAAGCGCATAGAGCTTGCTGTTGAGAGGGGATTTGCGCTATACAAATGCTATCTATTATTATTTTTATTAAAATCACCCATACAAAAGACCTCTTCCCACTTCCACTCTCACATTTGTCAAATATTACTAAGAAATTGTCCAAGATGTCCACATGTCTACAGAAGGGCAAGAGTCCAGCTGTAGCTGTATCGATAACAACAACCACATGTTTAAGACAAACACTTTTCTTCTTGACGCGGGGGGGGGGGGAGAATCTTGGACAATTTAGACTGTTTTTGGTTGGAGTCCTGTTCCACAAAAGCATGGATTTTTTCTCAGGTAGAAAAGTCTCATCGTACGAGTGTCCGACATGTACTCACAGAAGAGCTGTACACCTCATACAGGACAGCGAAGAGCGTCTGTATGAAGCTAGAGGCCAGTTCCTGGTCTTCCTTGAGAATCTCTGCTCGTGAGTCACAGCGCTCCACGTTTGGGTCCACTTGGCCAGCTGAGGACAGGAAAATGCAAGATGTACAAAAACATGCAAAATTGTACAGGCTTGACACACTTTGAAACACTAAAAGGTAAACAAAGAGGTGGGACCGCTGAATTTAACATCCCTCTTCAACAGGACCGATCCAAACAGGAAAATATGTGTAAAATACTTTTTCAAAGAACACAATGTCAGACTAAGATGAGCCTAAAATCCCCGAACCCATTTGCTATTATGAGTCCGGTGGCGTAACTACAAAATTACTGACAGCCCCAAAACACAGATGAAAAACGGGCAATCTCAACAAAATAGTGCTACTGCAGATGAAAAGAAGTTCTAAAATCCCTTGGTTTCTTACTACACAGCCCCAAAATGATCACACACTCAATAACTGAATTGAAAAGTCTTCAAAACTTAAAGCTTTCAAATCTGATTTTCTCACAATTCCTATTTTGTGACCACCCACATTTTTCCTGTGAACTCCTCAGACAGTCTCCAGTTTGTATAGGGAAAGTAAGAGAAGCACACCAAAACAACAATTGTGTCTCAACATGGTGGAATCATGCACTCGTCAAATTTTGGGCACAAGGTAATATTGGCATCATCTTAAAACTTGTTCATTTGTTTTGCTTTCGAAGAAAAAAAAATAGTCAACCACCTCGATTAGAAGTGGAGATATTTGCAATTGAAAGACAAAGGGGTCGCCTGATTTCAGTGGCAAAATTAGCGAGAAATTGGCCACCAAAGTTTAGTGACTTCCATAGATTCCGTGACCCTTTTTTTGGTGCTAAATCTAAAAACAACAAAAACGACATTAAATGGAAACTAGCAAACATATTTTCATAGTTCTTCATCTAATGAATGAACTTCCAGTATGAGAGACCTGTTTTTGTCAATAGCCGAAAAGTAACTTGATGTTGAAGTTGTCATAAAGGAATGAGCCTGAGCCACTGTCAGCGGCTAACTGGCGCAGTGGTTCCGACCGCGAGACACTGGGAGCGGCTTGCCGGAGATAAAGAGTTAAGAAAGAAGTGTGCCTGATGTGTGCATATAAGCAAAGATTAATTTTTCATAGCATGTACAGGATCGTTCATTTATTTTAAATCTGTACTGTACTCACTTTTACATAAAGCGCCTAGAGCTGTGTGCACGCTGTAGAAGGTGTTATAAATCAAAATTATTTTCCTCATTCATTACTATTATCAATAATTTAAGGAAGCACCCCCAGCCCCGACCCCTTTTCCATATTAAAAAAAAAAAGTGACCATCCTACTCACAGGGATCCCCAGAGGTATTCTGTCCTGCCGGACCCAGGCTGTTGACTTTCCGCACCACTGGCCTGGCCGTCCCTGTGTCTTCGTTGATCTGCTGCATGGAGTTGAAATCTAGCAGGTAGGAGCGGCCCATGGTGGATAAGCTCACCTCCTCCTCACCAGCCTGATACGCTGCCTGGAGACCATAAAACAACCACATTATAAGAGATTGTTCAATTTGAGTAATGAGAAGCACATTGACACTATGATAGTCATATTGTACAGGGAAGAAGCAATACAGACTGAAATAAGAGAGGGGAAAGAAAAGAAGTAGGACCTACCAGTGGTGCCCTCCAACCACTCGCACAGAAATAAAGTCTGCGTGCCAAGTGAACACACTTAAACAGATCACATACATAATGTCATACTAACTAGCTCGCATCCATTCATGTTTTGATTTAGTCGAGTTTTACCGCAATTGCAACACATATGAGTGCCAAAGATTAGAAGCATTACAAGAGTAACAAACGCAAAAAAGGAGAGGTGAGGATGACAGATCTTTTATAGGAAAGAAAGATCAAACCACTCGAGAGCACATGCGAACCACCCACACAACCATTTATAGGATGAATGGGGACCCAAAAAAAGTGAACACACAAACACACACACGATTCCCACTGACCTCAACAATCTTGTTGTCGATGGGTGTGTACAGGTGCCAGAGCCCTCGGTCATCCTGCCACTGCCAGAAAGCCCCGTCCTGGCTGATTGTCCCTCCTTTACGCAGCAAGGCGTTGACAGAGAAGAGCCCGTCAGTTGGCAGCCGGGGCAGCAGTTCACTGAAAGGAAATAAAGCAAATTCAAGAGTCACATTTTTATGTTAGTTATTGGCAAGTAAAGAAAAAAAAAAGCACACCTCTAGTAACAACAATAACGCAGTGAGGTCCACTTAAACCGAAATCTGCCGGAGCACCTGATTTTTGTTTTTCGGGTGTTGTTCCTTCCACTCTGTAGCCTCATTTTGATGATAATTTTCACCTCCTAACCATTCGTCTTTTTTTCAGGCGATCTAATCCAGACCATTCTTTTTCTTATGAATCAGCTGTCTCATTCCCAAACAGGTTGCAGTGAGATAGTAGTATCCAGTGTAGCACAACTGTGTGATTTTGGTGAAAAAGGTGAGTTATGGACATACTCGCGGCCAAGCTACTCACCCGATAAGGCTGACAATCTCAAAGAACTCCTGGGGTGTACGGGAGACAAGCTGTGGAGAGAGAGAAAGAAAAAGAGAGAGAAATGATAAGCATTTTCATCAGAAGATAATGCTAATCTTTCTTGTCAAGAAAAAAGTTAAGATAAATCGTTATGTCAAGCAATATAAAATAAAAAGAAATCTTTAGTGAACTGAAGCTGGCAAATTGGTTTGTTAACATAAAGACTGCGTTTACAGACCATTTATGTTTATTAGTGATCAAATTTATATCATACAAAAACTAGGAGACCACGATACTTTTCATTATACACAAAATCCTTTGATAAAAGTGGTTGGTAAGTAAAAACAACCTATAAAATTTGTTCAATTGTAACATCGAGTTGTTTGAATTGGTAAAAAGAGATGATCATCAACATGTGAGGCACAGAGAAAGATAAAAAGAATGGTGAAAAGGCAGGCTGTAGCCGACGCATCCTCCGACCGCCCACTCAAATGGTAAGGACAACAAAACTGAACAACTAACATGAACAAAAGATAGTCTTATCTATACCAAGTCTTGAATTATAACCTAAAAGAAAAAAACATTCCAGCAAGATAGAGAATCGAAAAATATACTTCCGCATGTTGGCCAAGTTCTATACCCTGAGACATAAAATGTTTTAGAAACAAAAAAAATGTAACCCTACACTTCTGTTTGTTGGCCAAGTTCTACATCCTGCGCAAAAAAATATTCCAGAAAGAATCAAAATAGAACCCCACACTTCTGCTTGTTAGTTAAGTTCCGCATCGAATAGAATCACAGCGGCTAACTTGCAGCTCTGCGAAAGCAGCTGGTTCCATTTTTCTGATGCATTAGATAAAGCAGAACAAGTCCTAGGGGTGACAAGTCTTCTGTACAAAACAGGAAGTAAAGTCTTTCCACACAACTTCAACAATCACAACCAAATGAATCAGAGAGGGATGTGTCCCAAATTTAGTTTTGTGTAAGTAAGTGTTTTATGGCATTTGCAATACAATTAGTTCATGGAAGTGCAGAAGAATATAGATGTTTCTAGACGGTAACATCTGGATCTTTAACAACTCGACAGTAACATATAAATTAAAGAAGCAGGAGGGATATGGGTGACAGATGGGTCCGAAGTTTACTATTACCAAGTATATTTACCTCAAAGCACTGGTCAGTGGTCTCTGAGGAGCCCGTCAAGAGATACCTCAAAGTCTCAGCAATTTCTGTAAGTTAATAAAAGTAAAAATCATTATTAAAACAAAATTTTATTTATTCATTAGTTTTATAATGACATACAAAATAAGTCAATGTAACATCTCAAACGTTTTGTAAACAGTGAACCTCCATGGAAAAAATCTGTAACTTTGGCATGACCTGTAACAATTTCTCAGTAATCCATCTGAGATTTAGGGATGATCATTTTCAATCTTCCATGACCCAACATATTATCCCCATCTTGGCAAATTTTACATTCAGAGTATTTCCCAATGACAAGGTTTTTCCAGAACTCAAGTAAATAAAAACAAACTCTAGGAACTTTACAGGAATGTAAAATCACATTAATATTTAAACAATTTTCCAGACTTTTCAGAGGCAGTTGAAACTGACATCTGCGTGTTAAAACACCACTTCACCAAGGGGCAATGGGAAAAACAAAGATTATTTCTGTTCTTGAAAAAAAAACTGTAGTTACAGTAAAAAATGTTGTCGACCTGCTATTTACTGCTGGGCAGCAAACATGATGAACGCACCCATGGTATCAGGTGAAAGCAACATAATGGTTACAATTCTATAGGGACAGATTGTGAAAATGGGAACATTACTAACAAAAAAATTAATAAAAATAATTGTAGAACTTATACATCCCCACCGGAACACTTAAGAGCATTTAGAACCAATCTGGTCTGAGAGATATACAATATCCCAGCAGAAAGACAGAGATAGTTGATAAACATCCTCCCCATTTGGTAAAATAAGTAACATTGAAAAGAAGTGTTTTAGTTTTGCAAGAGTTTTTTTGTTGATTTTTTTTTCCTAAGGGTTTTACGGCACTTGCAACACAATAAGGTCATATAAGTGCCAAAGATTAGAGGTGTTACAAGGGATTAACAAACACAAAAATTTTTTCTATAGTAGAGGGTTTTACGGCGCTCGCAACTGCATAAGGTCATATGAGCGCCAAGGGGCACAAAAAGAAAGGAAAGATCAGTATGATGGATGTTTGATAGGAAAGAAGGAGCAAACCACACCAGAACACCCGCTAACAACCTGCTAAAAAGAAGCAGAACATTACTAACTCTGAAAAGTAGACGATTAGCACCCATAGCAGCTATAGAGAAAAGCCAGTAGTACTTACTCTGTTTGAGCAGTATGACGGCCAGATCTGGACAGTTTGAGCACATGACCACTAACATCCTGACCACTGTGACGAACACACTGGTGCTGATGACAGGCGGGCTCATTACAAGCTGAAAAAAGACAGTTCCATGAAGGAAAATTGCATCATCATTCACAGATTTCAATTTTCATTATCATTCACAAATCTTAATCTTTATCACCATTCACAGATTTCAATATGCATTATCCTTCAAGCATTTATAAATCTGAGACATCACCTTGCATTGCAAAAGGAAACCCATCAAACCTGCAGGAAGACAATCACCTGTACAAATGACCAATTCCCCCCCCCCCTGCATTTTTTCCTTTATCATAATGACAATGTCTGAGAAGATCACCTATGTAAGATGACCATTTTTCTCATCGATGATGGGTGGTTGTCTTGCACAAATGCAACTGTATTTTTAAAGACTCCTACCCTCTTAAACAATGTACTGGGTTGACAGGCTGCTGAACTGATGATAAACTTTTACATTAATGACTACAAAGAATGGAAACATTTTCTGTCAACTTCTTCAACTATCCAGTACAAAATCCAAATACATAAAAATAATTCGACTCTTCTGGACATATCAAGGGTAGACCAGCAAAGGCATCCATAATTTTTAGATACAGTGGAGTCTACTTAACCTTACAGTCGATCCGAAAACGGCGGTAAAGAGAAATAAAATAAAATCCCCAATTTTTTTTCTTCTATTTGAGCAATCTCTCTGAACTGTAAATACAGCTGACCTGAAGAAAATCTGTTCTGCAGATTTTGATTTGAACAGACTCCACTGAAATTTTAAGTATAAATTATGATCTCAATGAGTTCAAAGGTGAGGCTGGCAAATGTCGCCATTTGCGTTGATCAAAGCATTGCTTCATTTCTCAAATGAGGGTTTTTTAATCCCTATCTTTGCTGCTTCTCTTGGAATTCAAAATAAACCACCTTAAAATTTAAGGAACATATTTTCTACAATATCTTGTATCACGATATGAACAAAGAGATTAAAATATATATATATGTTGGGCAAAATGTGGGCAATTTCAGAAATTCGCATTTCTGGATTTATCCTGAAAGATAAACCTCTAACGTATGTAAAGTCTAATAATAGAGATGTGCTATCAGCGTTTTGGAGGAGCTTTTCAACTCCAGACACTAACTCACCAGTTGCTGAATGTTGGTCAGCAGGTCGTGAACAGCAATTTCTTTCAGCAATCTCTGATCGTTTTGAAAGTTGTCCACAAGGCGGGCAAAGCATAGGCAAACACTCTCAACAGACTTGCTGTCCTGTAAATGTTTGTTAACTTGAGTAAAGAGAAGCCCATCACACAACAATCGTCATTCAGAGCAAGGAAAAAGCAAGAAATGCAGACAGAAACAATAGAGGGAGAAAAAAGAAGAAGGACATACCACGGCTGCCCTTCAACAACACACTGCCCGACACAATAATTGTCATTTAAATGCAGAAAAAAAGCCATACAGACAGACAAGCAACAGAAGGAGTAAAAGAAGTGGGACCTACCAGCGGTGTTCTCCAATCACCCACTGTTCCTCGACTGTCTAGTTTTGATCAGCTTCAGTTCTCAGCACAAAACCACTTAGAACCCATACCCACAGAGAATAAGAACAATAAAAGGTAAAAGTATAGTACAACTCCCCAAGTCTTTGTGCATTTTGATGACCACTGCCAACTGTCTCCAGTTCTCATAAGACTTAGCACCAACCCCGCTGTGACCCCAGCCTGCGCACTAGGTCAATCATGTTTGAAATAGGTTGGGTGGGTGGACGACTTTTATACTATGGACTTCTCGTGAGATCAGTCTGCAGGTCCTTTATAAAAATCAGGAATCAGCATGCACTACAAATGGTATGAAAGTGCTGTGCATTGTCCGTTGAGTTGCTCTCCTCATTTAAAATAGAAGACTTTATTCCTTTCCTGTTACACAATTTTCAAGAAACCAGCTAGGCAGTTAGAGAGCATAATACCGTGGATACAAAAATTATCATCAGCAAACTTTTCATATGAACTACACCCAGAATTTTTAAATAAAAAAAACAACAACAACTGCAGTTTCTTTTTTATATCTGTGATATCAGTCCCATCTGTTCAAGAAATATTTGTCGAAATTCAAATTTTAAGTATTGAGAAAATAAATACCACACACAAAAAGATAAAGGTAATGCGAGTACAATTTTTAAAGAAAAATGAAACGGTTCTTTCCCCCCCTCCCCCCTTCTGAAAAATGATGCCCTCTGAGCTTAGAGCAACTGAATGAACGTCATCAATACTAAGGAACGTACAGAGTGATTGAGCCGGCCACTGAGGAGAGACAGCGAGTCCCTCATGTAGTGGAACTCATCGGCAGACATGGACTGCACACAGTTGGCTGTGATAGTCAGGGCTCGCCGCTGGGCAATGATGCTGAAGAAGTCCAAGAACATCAAGCAGGCAGAAATTCCTCCCTGGTGGAACAAAAACACAAAAATTTCAATGTGACTTCCTCCGTGTCGGAGCAAAAACACAAAAAAATTTTCAATGTGACCTTTTTTCCTGGAGGAACAAAAACAAAGATTTCCTCTTAAGTGGAACTAAAGTGTAAAGATTTCAATGGGACTTTTTCCTCCCTGGTAGAATAAGAACAAATTTCAATGTGACCTTTTCCCTGGTATAATAAAAACAGAGATTTCAATGTGATATCATCCCTGGTTCAACAAAAACATAAACATCTCAATGTGACCTGAGGTCTTTTTCAAAACCCATTCACAACTTGTCCAAGACAATCACATATAAATACTTCCCATTTTCTTTACATTGTAATGACACTGTCCACGCTTATTCAGTGAGGGGATAGAGTAAGATAGAAATAACAGAGGGAAAATATATGGGGGTAAATTCACTTCTCAATCTTACTTCAGTAATTAATTTTCACAAAGTCAACACAGAACAAGTAAAAGTGGGCAAATGCTCTTCTTTAGTTGGTGTAAACTGACCTGATTCAACATTTTTTTTACACTACAAGCCTACACCAACTAAACCAAGCCATCCATGTGAGTAAAAGCTAAAATTTGTGTTGAGAGCAATCAGTTAACAGTAACTAAAAAGACTTTGCGAAAAATTTTTGTCTGTAGATATTTTTATACAAACACAAATAAAATATTCTACACATACACCTGTCAAATAGTTTTATTATGCAACATCTATTATTATTATCGTTAAAATGCAAATAAATTCAAACTGAATGAGGAACTCACAGCCTGCAAGATTGCTTTCCCATGCCTCTTAGAGAGAGTTTCCAATGCTGACAGAGACTGCTCAGCCACGTCAATACAGTTTATGACTTGCAGCTGAAAGAGAATAAAACTTTTTATACAACATTTAAACTTTTCAAACAATCTTTAACTTTATCAAACAACAAAAAAAGCCTAAAAATAATTTACTGTATTAGAAGATTCAGAATTGAAACCAAAAAAAAAAGATTTATATCATTGTATGAGGGCTTCGCACCCAGTCTCGTAACAAACTTCCCCTATAGTACAAATAAATAATCATTTTAAAAACTACTCTTAACTGTCATAGAAGTTTGCAAAACATCAAGCTTCCTATTGGTAACACATGTACCCTATGCTTAATTCAATCAAAAAGAGCAGCGAGAAGATATTTATGAATACAAAACCTGATGCTCAGAAAACACATTTCACATACGAAAGTGTACATTGTGTTAATACTCATGAAATGTTTTTTTTAAACTAAGTACTTTTTTTCTTACCTTTCCAAAGCTAAATAAAGAGAAAATGAAAAAGCTTACTCATCACTTTACAAGACAAAAAGAATGATGGAGCTGAGGGGCCAGGATTTAAACTTTATAACTGCAGAGACCCACCCCCAAACAAAAGAGGAGAAGAGGTGAAATAAAAATGAACCAAAAAAACCCAGCTCATGTAAAAAAAATTTAAATTTCAAGAGAACATGGTAAATGTGAAAATTATAGCAAAAACAATAGAGCAAAAGAAAAACAACACCAGAGCACCCTCCAACCACAAGAAACTCTCACCACACCAGAACATCCTCCACCAATCACCCACTACAATACAAAAGTGTTTTCACAATCATAAGGGGTTTCTTTTTTGGCACTTGCAACATTAATAGGTCATATAACAGCCGAAGATACGAGGTATTACTAGAGAGTAATACACAAAGAAATTTTTTTTTAGAAAGATATGGACAAAAAATGTTTTTGATGGGGGGAAAAAGGGAGCAAACCATACCAGAGCACCTGCCAACCACTCGCTACAAAACAAAAACGTGCGTATGCCAGACAGAGCTCACCTTCTCCAAGAAGACAGCCACCCCTTCCACCACAGAGGCTGACGAGCGCGGCAAGGCCTCCATCATGTAGGTGAGCGCCCGGCTGGCGTGGATCATCATTTCAAAGTTGTGCTCCATCTGCAGCAGCTGGATGAGGGCGGGCACCACCTGCTTGATGGGGAAACCCACCAGGCTGTCCTCATTGCCCATCACCAGGATCTTTTGGGGAGAGGAGGGGGGATGAGGGAGGGGAAGAAATGAGAAGTAATAATACATGTAATTTTTTGGTTTTAGTAAGAGTTTAACACTTGCAACACAGTTAAGTCATACAAGTGTCAAAGATTATAGGTGTTGCAAGAGAGTAACCAACACAAAAAAGAAAGAGGAGAGATCAGGATGATACACAGATGTTTGATAAGAAAGAAGGAGCAAACCACACCAGAGCAACCGCCAACATCCCACATAGATGTTTGATACAAAGAAAGGAGCAAACCACACCAGAGCATCCACCGACCACCAGCGATGGATATTTGAAATGAAAAAAAAGAAGCAAACTACACAGAGCACCCACCAACCACCTACATACAAACATTTACAGGACAGAAGAAAAATAGGACCTATTGATGGTATCTTTTAACCACTTCCACAATACATTTGTTGGAAAGAAACGTTATTGACCAAAATTGGGACACTAAATCAGTGATGGGATGATGCAGAGTTGAGATTCACATGAAAATAAGTACACTGCAATAGGGACATTTCCCTGGGAACAGATTAGAACAGTTTGAATCTGAGCAATGAGAAGCGCATTGATGTGACAAAGACCATATTTAGTGCAGGGAAATAAGCAAGAGAGACACATGCAGATACAGAGGAAAAGACAAGAAGAAGGACCTACCAGTGTCACCCTCCAACAACCCACACAGGAACAAATAAGTAAACGCACACTACATAACAAAAATTCATGACTGTTGTACACAATACGGAGGCACATCTCATTAGGATTAGGAGATCAATTAACTTTGTCGGTCAGTGTGAACTATTCAGAAGAAAAAAAACCCACTGACATTTTCACAAACTTTTTATTCTACAAAACTTATTAACTGACATTTCCACAAAACTTATGTCCTCAAATTTTCAAAAAACTTTTCCACTGCATTTCCTCAAGATTTCTTCATCACAGTCTGGTAATCTCACAGTAGGAAACACAAATCTATCCTTCCCTTGCTGACAGGGAACTCATGAGCCCTACACGAACCCTTTACACCCCAACCCTCTCACCTGGCACATCTCCATGACGGCAGACAGCTGCTGGGCTTCATCACCAGTGGCCTGTAGACCTTGCAGCAAGTGCTGGACCTTGGTCACTGCAAACACAGACTGGGATTTAATATTTGCATATATATATATATATATATGTGTAACACTAGTGAAAAACAAGTTTAATACAAACAAATGTGCAACAATATTATAAAATCCATTACTTTTAAAAAATTGTACGGTAGCAGGGCAGCCCACCCACCTGCATGTTTTAGTAATCAATTTTAAAAAAATTAGTAATTCGGCTTAAAAATTCATTATGTTTGGGCAGGGATAGTCTTTTTCCATGGAGTGTTAAGGACATGGATTGCAAGTTTAAGGATCAAGGTAACATAATACAAGAAAAGCATTATGAAATGAAAGAGGTCATCGTGGGCTGGCTCTCATTGAGTTAGGAAAACAATGAAGGGGAGGGGTGGGGAAGGGGTTGTTGTAGAGTTTTTGGCAGTCAGCTTGACTCTTGCAAAAACAAATGAAACTGACGAAACACATCACAAGCTTCTGATCTTGAGTGGGCATCACTTACACACCATGCTGAGAACCATAGCTGATTGTTTCAAATAATGATCCATTTCCTTCTTAAATTCTCTCGTAGGCCTAGGCAAAGTGTAAGAATTTCTTAACTCATCAAACTATGTCATACTCCTGGCTTCGGTGCAACTGATGCTTTTAAAAATGCAAAGTGTCACTCAGCAACTATAGCACAAATGGGTTCGGTGCACAAATGGAGTACTGTTAGACAGTGGCATGTGACGCAACGAGTAAAAGTTGACTGTTGGGATCGGAAGGTTTTTCTTATATTGCAGGAGGAAAGGAATGGGTTAGGATAACTGAATGGCAAACACATTTTAAAAAATAGGAATCACGAGTGCTACAATCATATTTTTGTGAGAAGGAACAAAAACCATGACAATTCCACGAAATTCATAATGATGGGCAGCCCTGTTGTAACAAAGATTGCAAAAGTCTAAAATCCCCATCAATACAATTTCATCGATTTTGAAGAACAATTATTTTGACCCTGACTGTCCTTGGCTGAGTAGGATATAACATCTGTAGGGGGAAATTGAAGTCACATCTTCTGCATGCAACAGCTCAGAGCTTGAATTGACTGCTTCCTAGGAAGCCGAGAATGTTTCGGAGCGCTTAAAGATCTGTTGGAATAATAATTAATAGCAAAGCACATAGAGCCTACTTTCAAGTGGGGATATGCACCATGTTATTATTAGAATATAAAACATAAAAAGTGGTAACAGGCAATACATTTTTTTAATCATCAAATTTCCATGAAAAATGAAAGAACCTGAAAAGGTTCCTATAAAACAAACTCTTCAAATAAGGCACCAGAAAAGGCTTGATATACACAGAATGTGATCGATTACACCTCAGAAACCGCAAAACAATTTCCTTCACTCCTCCTTTTCAAAATTTAAAAAATCCTGCAGAACCCCAAACCCTACCAATGGGGCTCCTTTCCCACATTAAAAAACAGCATTTCCTCAATCTGAACTACTCACTGGTTCCTCCACTCATAGTTCTGTGCAGCAGCTGATGCATTCGAGGCCCGAGGGCTCCGAACAGATGGGATGGCAAGCCTCTTGCTTCCAGTAAAGCTGTTGGGGGAGGTGGGGGTGGGGAGAGGGGGACGGGGAGGAGGGGTTGGAGGGGGAGGAGGGAAATGTAAATGACCATGGTGCAGTCTGCAGTGACAGCCAATAATGGTTCTTTTTTCCTTTCATACATGCAGATCTCTCTTCTTTTTTTTTTTTTTTGGTCTTCTGTCCTGATTTGGTGCCCATATTTGTAGGTTACATAAAAAAATGTGTCAACATGGTAGTAATTGTTAGTCTTTAAGAAATACAAAACAGGAAGAATGAAAAATTGTTTGACATTTAATGATGATGATGACATGTACCCATATCTTAATACTAAAAAAATTACAAGAAAATGTGTCTATTATAACAATAAACATGCAAAATAAAATTATGCCCTTTGTTTTGTCTATCCCGTGACATACTTTGCTACTCCTTTACTGGACCACTTATGTCTCATTAAAATTTGTCAGTATCAAGACATTGCTTCTCATTTAATTCTAAATTTCAAAACCAGACAACACAACATCTAAATCAAAAGCAAATCTCTTTAAGGCCTTTGTGAAGTAGAAGGCATCCATTCAAGTGTAAATTTAACTATAATGTTTGAAAAAAACATACCAAAAAATCCCAATATAGGTTATTTGAGGTTAGAGTGTTTGTGTTGGAGATGGCAAAAACATTTTGTTTTAACAAAAGTTTTTCTGCACTTGTAACTCAATAAGTGCCGAAAATTTGAGATGTTACAAGAGTATAACAAACACAAAAAAAAGAAGCAGGAGAGATCAGTTTATAGTTTTAGTAAGAGTTTTATGGCACTTGCAACACAGTAAGGTCGTATATGTGCCGCAGATTAGAGGTGTTAAAAGGGAGTAACAGGCAACAACAAAAAAAAGAAGAAGAGATCAGGACGATAGATGTTTGATAGAAAAGAAGAAGCAAACCCCATCAGAGCACCCGCCAACCACCTGCTGGCAAGAAATAAAAAGACAAAACAAAACAAAACAAAACTAGACCAAGTATTATGAGCTCCAGATGAAAGATCTTGCAACACAAATAGGTCTAATAAAAGCTTAAGATGAGAGGTACAAGGGAGTAACACACAAAGAAAAAAAAGGAGAGATAAGGATGACAGACGTTTGATAGGGAAAAGGGAGCAAACTACACTAGTGCACCCACCAACCAACCAACCATTTTATAAAACAAAACAAAAAATAAACAAAAAAGAGGGAGAGGAAGAGTTTAACTTGACTCAAGAAAAAAAATGAAAAAAAACCCAACTATATCATGCCTATCAAAACAGTTTCTGTAGCTTACCTTGTAGTCGGTTCATCTCCGACTCATCGTTGTCATTGTCTGGACCTGCGCCTCCTACAGCTCCGAGGGGCATACCTGATCCCGAGTCTGAAAGAAGAGGAACTTGGGTCAATTCAATTTGGTTATTTCAGCAAAGTAAGCCAAAAGCACACATGCAGGTCATGTAATTCACTATTACTATTACAATGTATACATTGATACAAAACTGTCAAGAACAGTTTTCTATTGTTCAAGTTATAGTTTTACAGTGCTAGCAACACAAATAGGTCATATGAATGCAGAAGATTAGAGGCGTTAATGCAGATAATATACAAAGAAAACGAAAAAGAGATTTAATAAGGACGACAAATGTTTGACAGGAAAGGAGAAAACCACACTAGGGCACCCGCAAACCACACACACACAATAATAGAATCAAGGAGATGGGCACTGTAACACTGAGCATACCTTCTGACTGCGCCACAGCCCCTGTCCGTCCTGCTCCTCCACCCCCATCTCTGGGCCTGCCGTTACCACTGCCGCCACCACCACTGCTTCCACTGCTGTCCTGCTGTGGTTGCTGCTGCTGCTGTTGCTGTTGTTGACCAGGACTGGACATGCTGGAGGCTGCTGTGCTCACAGTGGCCGGGTTGCTGCTGCTGCCGCCGCTGCTGCTGCTCTTGCCTATCTCCGACCTCTCCCTTGCAGCCACCACAGAGCTGCGGCTGGCCCCTGCTCTTCCTGACCCTCGGTTTGCTGTAGACGACTGACGCCCACTGGAACAGACAATCACACATTTCAACTATTCGGGGACGCCACTGGGATTTGGTGATTTGAAAACAAAAAGACAGTAAATAAACACAGTTGTATGGGGTTCAACAGAAAACAATGCAAAGGATAATAACTATTTTTTTTGTGAAAATGAAAAATGGCATCCCTGACAATTATTCATTCATCTTTGAACGTCATTTTCACAGAGCAAATAATAACGATGCAAATGTAGCTACTTTCAGTTTCATTTTAAGTAAGCTTTACAGCACTTGAAACACAAATAGAAGAGATATTACAAGAGAGTAAGATACAAAAAAAAGGAGGAGGATAAATAAGGACGATAGATATTTGATACGAAAGAAAGAATAAACCACACAAGTGTACCTGTCAACCACTTACTGTTCATCTTGGGAAGTGTTTTTTTTCCACTTTGAGCAAATAATAATAATTGCAGGTATAGCCAGTTTTTTCACAAATAACCAACAGCCAACAAAAAAAAAACAAGAGGCAGACTACTGAACAGTCATAATCCCTATAAATATTTTACACTTTTAGCAACAAATCTCAGACAATTTAGAAAGCAGGCTCTTTTGACTCTGCTTGTCAGGGTGAACCACAGTCCTTAGGGGAACATCCCATCAAACACAGAAATACTCAATAAAATGTCTCACCTCCTTTTTTGTTCTTAAAAAGTTAGGAGTTTTATGGACCCCTCAACACAATAAACTCATGTAAGTGACGAAGATAAGAGGTGTTACAAGAGAGTAACAAACACAAAAAAGAAGAAAAGGTGACAAAGGCCATAGATGTTCGATAGGAAAGAAGGAATGAACCACATCTGAGAGTCAACCAAACATCCACTCACTTTCCTTGAATGCAACATGAAGGGCCAAACAATCACCTATCT